TCACCCAGTTTCGGTGGAAGTGCGCGAGTTCGATTGGGATTCAAGTAGGAAGGGAGCGTCTCAGCTTTCTCGGACCAAGACCATTCGACTCAGCACCCCGAAGACTACAACTGGTGAAATTTTAATTTTTGCCTTAACTTCCCCTTTAAGAGTGTCCAGCCATTTATAGTCCAGCAGTCAGGCCCTGAAAATACCTCTAGAAATTGACTTTCGTTCCGACTTCTTCCACACAATTTTTTGACGATGCAAAGTTGAAGAGAAGGATTCCCGGTCATCGACTGCACTGTTCGTTGCCTTCACAAGTGAATGCATTGACTAGTAAAACAGACTTTTTTCGTCCAACTCGGCCATTGCTTCTTTCACCTCAAGCGCACTGTGTGTGTGTGTTTTTTTGGTGGGGGGGGGGGTAGTAGTTTTATGACTCTCGGCGGCACCGCATGGTGGGATTTCACCATTATGGTATATCGGTGTCAAAGGGCCTAGCCCTAGCCAGCCAGGTACAACTACTAGTAGCAGTACTAGCAAGAGTACATAACCCCAAGAGGGTTATGGACTCTTGCTAGTAGGTGGCCTAGGCCATGCATTTTTAGCCATCAAGAGTATTATAACTAGTTAACCTGGGGGTTATATACTCTTGCTACCATGCAGAGCAGACGCGTGCGTAGTTCGCAACATCCGCAGGCAGTCCGTGCGCCAAGGCCCTACACGGCTTCAGTTCAGAGACCGTTTTTCATTTTCTCGTGGGAATCGTAGCCTCCAAGGCGCCGGATGGGCTTGTTTTCTGTTGATTTTCTCTATCTCCAAATGGCGAATACTTCAAAGAAATTTGCTGCTTATAGCCATTCTAGTGTCGTCAGGAGACCTTTCCTCCACTGAAGAGATGGTTCGGAATGATGTTGACACCTATGCCCGTACGCTGGAAAATTATTTTGGAGCTTGCAGTTCGTGAGCAGCCATCTGGGATGAATGTTCCATTTTTGTAATTGCTGAAGCGAGGATTATGGTCACCAATTTCACACCAGATAAGGCGCTTACTCAACGCCGACACTAAAACCGCTTTGTGGGGTGATGGACCAAAGCCTTATCTTTTGGATGCATGAGGAGTTAGAGTGATACCTATGTGCCCCACAAATACACCCGAAAAAACCACGTACAGGCAGTATTGTCATTTTATGAGAAGAGACAATTGAACATGCTCTAATTCGTCATGACTGGTTTCGGTAATTTTCAAACACCACTCTGAGTGAGCATCTACCAATCCTTTATCAATGTTACAGGGGCATTTGAGTTTAGGGGACAGAGGTGGAATATTTCACCAACTGATGTACTAGTTTTTTTCTGAATTTGTGGAGTACTAGGTCGCATCGTGTAGATATGTCAGTATACGTGCATGATTGTGGTGAAATTCTGAGCATCAAATTATTATGGGCATCAAAGCACTGGTGCTTGCCCATTAAATAAATAGGTCTCCTGCTCTCTGACTTTCTTGCATTGCACGACTATCAAATTCGTCGAATGAAATGAAGGAGCAAATTTTTTGCTGACTGCATCAGTTCTGTTTTCCTCTGCTGTTCTTCTTTCAGTGTGGTGACTTCTGATCCATGAGGCAATGGCATGAAGTCAGTAGTTTGCAGTATGTGCAGTATTTAAAGAAGCAGCACAATTCTTGTCTGCCAATAAACAACAGGCTGGCCAGCTATAATTACAGTTTGGAGGTCGGAGACGCTGAAGACGCGATCCCGTTAATTGCGCCAACTGCAATGAAGAAGGCCTCTTTGATTTATTACCATTTCGTGTGGATATCTATGGTGTTGTGGTCCAAGTCGTGCGGACCATAAAAGGTATTAGACATGAAATAGTGAAGGTGCTGCGATTGACACTGACGACAGCAAACCAACAGTGGATATCAACCACACTCCCAGCGTCACTCTGCACACCAGGAGAATCCAATACAGTCAACTTGGCTAATAACGACTGCGGACATAACGACAATTTGCAAATAACGACAGAATTTCCATGCCCAGAGCAAAGTCCCGTCCCACTGTAATACATATAATGAGACTTCGGGTATAACAACACTTCGCGAATAAGGACACCTTTTTGATGCCCCGCCGAGTGTCGTTATAAGCGAAGTTGACTGTACATATAGCTGCCAACCCTGATGGTATAGACCCGATAACTTCCATCTTTCTTGTTTGGTTACTCTACGATTGGTATACAGTCATGTACTAGTGTAATCTCTGTCCATATGCGGAATGCACTGTATTTGTTTCTGGTGGCTGGAGGTAGTTTATCATAGCACTGTTTTTTGTTTTGTTTTTGTGGAAGATGAGCATTATCATGTTAACGTTACCGGTGTCGCGGGTCATTCCACAGTCCCCAAATGTGACGTTCTCGGCAACAGACCGACCCAGTAGGCAACTGATTAATGATAAATTTGCTGCCATTCATGATTGGTATCACGGTGCGCCACAATGGCATATGGTGCAAAACATCTGTCTTCTGGCAAGAACAAGGTGCGGTTGGTTGCCTTCCTCGCTGCTGGATGAGCAAGCGATAAGTTTTCAAGTCGCTTGACGCCTGGAAAGAGTCTCTTTGTGACCATCGAGCACGTCTTGCATCAAGATCGCGTACGGCCAAGACGCCACTGCAATGCAGCGGAGCCCTTGTCTAGACCTCACGTCTTTCTTCAGCTCTTTCAGTCTCTGTTCATGTGTGCTACATATGCTTACTCTTTGGTTTTGGATATCTTGACGGACATTGTACATCATATCAGTGATGTTCATTATGTAGGATTTGACTCCAATCCTTTCTTGTTGTCCTAATTATCAACCTAGGCGGCATGCCATGCATTTTGTGTAATACAAATCAATGATTATGTAGCATAGTACACGTACATGCACATGTATACAGAAGAATGGTTTCTTCCCTCTTTCCTATTTGCACTGCACCTTTCTGTATGTTTGAAAGGCATTTTGTCTGAACCCGGTGGTATAGATAATTTTTTTTAAACATCCTAAATTGTCTCCAATGTAACAACAGTTACTATGCTGTTACTATGCCGTTGCTATGGTTACAGATGTGAAACAATTTCTTCCGTATTTTATGCCCTAGCATCCTAAATCTAAAGGAAATAATGTGATTTATAGGGAGCACTAGGTGTCATGGTCAGGTTTTAGGTATCCATTTGTTGTGTGCTCGAAGTGGGAACGGGCGTGAATATTATGGGGCCTGGCTGCTGGACTGCCGTATTTCCCCGTAAGTAAGTTCTCCCCAATGACTTAGTACCCCCCCCCCCTATAAAAATACACTTTCCACTGCCGAGGTTATCACCCCGAAAGACAGTCCCCCCCGAAAGATAGTAAGTTCGTACCCGTCCTACATGTACAGACACCGTACAGTACATACATCATATCAAGAGTACATGTGTACTCTTGATCATATGCACGGACACTAGAGTTGCGCAGGCTTCCCACTGCATGTCATTTACCCCCGATACAAAAAGTACTCCCCGAAAGATAGTACCACCCGCGAAAGTTAGTACTCATGTGGTTGCTGAGTTCGAAAGTTAGTACGTACTAACTTACGGGGAAATACGGTATTAGAGTCTCTGTCAGTCAACTATGGTAGAAATACAAGTTATCATGTCCAGGGTTTCTCCCTCACTCTCCTGCGATGCCACACTCCTACATACTGCGGATGCATTTGATGTGTTTTCACGTCAGTCACGTGGTCGGAGAAAGCCACGTTTGCCAACGCGCTGTATAACGTTGCATGCATGGCTTGCCAAAGTTGCATAAAAACGTTGTGGCCTCATGGCTCTTGCATTACATTTCTAGAATTACAGTGGAACTCACTTAGACCATACCCGGGTAAGACGTGCAAGCTCATATACAAATGTGTTTGGGAAACGACGTACCATGATAGGATTTACAACTAGTATTATGAAGGACTTTTCAGCAGGTGCAGACAGAGTGTACTAAGGGGCCGTCCAAGGTTACCAATATTATTTTCAAAACGAAATGTTTTCGTTTGTGGGTGGGTGGGTTTGATGGAGTTTCGTTGTGAAAATAATTATTGAATGCTGATGGAGAATGCCCAGTTACTTCTGGGTGTCGAAAATGGGCATCAATATTTTATTGGAATTCGTTTTGCCTGCAGAAAAGGTGGGTGGGTGGGTGGGGGCTGAAAAATACTAAAACTTTTCGTTTTGTAAAAACAATCGGTAACCCCGGACGGCCCCTAAGTACTTATTTGGTGATTTTCAAACACCGTTCCATTTGACAGGTTCACTTGACAGGTATTTTGGCATGTTGACAGTGCTGAGGAGGCTGTTTGCAGTGAAGGAAGCCTGGTTTCGTGTCAGTAGACACATACATTTTGCAGGGTCTAGGAAGAGTCAACTTTGGATAAGAAGTACTTCAGATTCTAGAGACGTTTTGCACAACTGTTTGCTCGAAAATCACGAAAAGCGAAACTTTGTGTGAGTGTTTGCGTGTTCGCAGCGCCGGATTGCGGCACAGGCCAACATGGTTATCTGTGGGTCTCCGGTTATCGACAACATATGCAAAAAGCTCTTGTCTCAGGGTGCAGCCACTCGCAGCAAATAAATTCTCAGTCGGATGAAGCTCTGTAGATCTACCGAAGGCGACTTCTCAAACAAGCACGAGTGCTCTGGTACTTTTCTTGGAGCGACAATCATGGAAAACACAAACTTCGCGCGAACATTCGCACAAATATTCGCAAGCCCAGGCGCGAAAATCCATGCGAGCGTTTGCTCTGCAAAACCTCGGTACTAAGTTCGTTTTTCCACTCCCGAGGCAGTACCTCTTATCCGAGTTCCACTGCATCTCACATGGAGCCGTACGAATGATTATGCCTGTCTTGCTCCAAACGAAAGCCATTACAAGCAGTGGACCATGCAATGACCCTTGAAATGACCCTTGAAATCAAGTCCCACACTTTTTCCCTCCATAAACTAAAGCAATCAATTCACTTACCAGCACCATCAGAGAGAGCTGGCTCTCTCTGATCAGCTGGTTGTGACTGGCGGTCGGAGCTCTCATCCTTGCTGGACCCCAGAGCTGGATCCCTCTGGTCAGCTGGTTGTGACTGGTGGTCGATGCTCTCATCCTTGCTAGACCTGAGAGCTGGCTCTCTCTGGTCAGCTGGTTGTGACTGGCGGTCGGAGCTCTCATCAACGCTGGCCCCTAGAGCTGGATCACTCTGGTCAGCTAGTTGTGACTGGTCGTCGGAGCTCTCATTCTTGCTAGACCCTAGAGCTGGATCCCTCTGGTCAGCTGGTTGTGACTGGTGGTCGATGCTCTCATCCTTGTTAGACCTGAGAGCTGGCTCCCTCTGGTCAGCAGGTTGTGACTGGCGGTCGGAGCTCTCATCAACGCTGGACCCTAGAGCTGGATCACTCTGGTCAGCTGGTTGTGACTGGCGGTCGGAGCTCTCATCAACGCTGGACCCTAGAGCTGGATCACTCTGGTCCGCTGGTTGTGACTGGCGGTCGCAGCTCTCATCAACGCTGGACCCTAGAGCTGGATCACTCTGGTCAGCTGGTTGTGACTGGAGGCCGGAGCTCTCATCCTTGCTGGACCCTAGCCCCATTTGTGACAATACCCTTCACCAGTGGTGTCACCACACGGATACCTGAAACACAGCAACACACAAACACAGCAACACACAAACCAAGCAACACACAAACACAGCAACACACAAACACAGCAACACACAAACACAGCAACACACAAACACAGCAACACGCAAACACAGCAACACACAAACACAGCAACAATGTCATATACTACCATGTACAGACAAAACCACACAGTGTCGACTACCAGTACCTGCAGACACTTTTACACATTAAACGGTGATTTCTGCTGATCGGATCTTACAAACTCTTTTACACGTTATTCTGTCTGATTATTAGAAATCCTACGGACAGTGGGAAAATCCCTGCATTCATCACTACATGTTTTATGTTCATGTTGCAATGGGCCAGCAGAATTTATGTTCTCAGTTTTATAAATGAGAGAGCAGGTATGGATACAGTACTGGCACTAATGACAGTCCAGAGCCCTCGCTATGTTTTGTTTTTAACTAGGGCTGTAACTAGATACTATATACGGTCAGAAAGTGCAACGACTAGGCAGTAAAAAGGGCAGACTACTGAGACATTCGACGACCTGACACCTAGCTTCAACACATCTCCGTAGCGCTAGCCAACAGCCTTCCAACTCTGAAGGTCCAAGGTTAATTTAAGCAGATACCAAAGAGGGGAAGGCAACCACAGCGAAAATGAACACAAGTCACAGTCCCACGGCAACAAAGAATGTCGACTGTTACTGGCTTGTTAAACCCTTTCTGACTGTATAACAGTATCTAGTTACTGTATAACAGTATCTAGTTACTGTATAACAGTATGTAGTTACTGTATAACAGTATCTAGTTACTGTATAACAGTATCTAGTTACTGTATAACAGTATCTAGTTACTGTATAACAGTATCTAGTTACTGTATAACAGTATCTAGTTACTGTATAACAGTATCTAGTTACTGTATAACAATATCTAGTTACTGTATAACAGTATCTAGTTACTGTATAACAGTATCTAGTTACTGTATAACAGTATCTAGTTACTGTATAACAGTATCTAGTTACTGTATAACAATATCTAGTTACTGTATAACAGTATCTAGTTACTGTATAACAGTATCTAGTTACTGTATAACAGTATCTAGTTACTGTATAACAGTATCTAGTTACTGTATAACAGTATCTAGTTACTGTATAACAGTATCTAGTTACTGTATAGCAGTATTTAGTTACTGTATAACAGTATCTAGTTATAATAAGATTTTTTAAGGGGGACGTGTGTCCTAGACCCCCTCTTTCTTTTCGCCTCCTTTCGGTCGTACAACTTCTTTAGAACCTGGTGGCGTCCCTGCAAAGTGATCTTTCAGGGATTAGGACTGCCCTGAAAAGAGAACAAAATGCAAACCCCAACAGAACTGGAACCTGGGACTTTGCTTGTCATGAGCATAGCTCTAACAATCTAAGCTATGGCACTGAGCAGAACCTAGAAAGCGCTGACAACTTTTTCACTAAAATTTCAGCTCAAAAAAACTTTCCAAATAATTTTGTTTTTCTGGTGAAAGGTCACCGTTTCCGATTGGAAGAAGTCCCTTCTTTGGAATTTGACGAAATTATTCATCGACTAATTTTCTCTGCTTGTAAAGCACACGGATTGAGAGTGAGTGGATATTGGAGAAGCCAAAAATTCCTTCGCGTTTGAATTGCCGTTGCTGCGCTTCACTACGAACAATACAATACCATGCGGACAAATGTGAGCACACGACACGGAGTACTGTACATCAGCAGAAGCCTTTTCCAATAAATCGTTACGGGTTAGGGCTGCTGTACTACAAGAACTCAGCGCACACCTTCAGTGAAACTTGGGGACTGAATGGGAGATGCTTACCTGACTTCAGGCCAGGGAGAAGCACCTGCTGCCGATAACGGCCGGGTGGTTCCTGTCCGGCGTCCGCTATTCTGGTAACGTTGACACGGACGATTGGTAGTCCCACAAATCTAAACGCCACCTGCCGATGGGCAGGTAACGAACGAAAGCGCTTCACTTCCGCAACCAGATTGCGAGGGAGCGTCACTCAAACTCCCAGACAAGAACAATATGAAGGGCCGCAAGCAGAACACGCATCCGCCCAGAACACCCACAGACGGCAACGAGCAAGAAAAAAACGATTCCGCATTCAACTGAAGCACGGACGGTGCAGCAGTCCAAGATCCTCTCTACACGTTCGCTGCACGCTCCAGCGGCCAGAGCTCTGTGGCTTCATTCATCTGTCTGATCTGACAGAAGATGTAGATCTAAGCGTAGATTATGTACATGACTGTACAACATGACATCAGATTCTACTGCCTGCTCCACACTACAAAAGTACAGTGCTACTCGTGTACATCCATATGTAGGTCTACATAATCATAGGGCTTGAAAGTGATGACGTCAAAACGGCCAGGGAGTAGTAAGTTTACATCAGATTTCTACTTTTGGATCCACTAAGGTGTGACTTTGCTATTGCCTAAGTATGTGGGTGCATAGCAACCCACTCATGTCGCATGCAGGTGTGACTTTTATTTCGCCACCAGTTGTAACCCCGCCCCCAGTAGCCAAATCGGTCAGTTTCACTGGCTACATCACCATGCTGTGGGGAAGACCGCTTGAAATGTGCTTGGATCCATACAAAAACTGGATCCAAGTGGATCCAGTTTTTGAATTTTTGAAATTGTTGCTATGCTGTGACGTAGCACTTTCAAGCCCTATTGCGGGCCGACCTTTCTGCTCACAAGTGACATGATGCTCCCACACCAACTACGAAATGAAGCCGACTGTCTGTGTCGCCAGAGCAGAGCTCTAGAGGCGGACTAGCTGTTCAAGTGTCATCACATTCAACAGTGCTAGTGAGCGATGTCGCCTGCACTAAAGATTATGACTTGTAGACCCTACAATACTCAACATGCAGGCCTGTTTGCTCACCCACGTACACGTCACGTGGTACACAGCCGGGATAAATCGTAGTAGAAGCAAGGCAGGGCAGAGGAAATGAGATCCTTTTTTTTTACAGTCAGTAGCTACAGCCAAGGCAAAGGCAAAGGCGTAAAAAGGCTGGAGGCATCCACAGCAGCACTCTACACAACACAATCATCATCATGCATGTACTGTCGTGGACATGGAAATCCGGTCGCACGTCTAGCGGCCCCAGGGCGCTGGCCATGCAGCCATGCATGGAATGCATCACTACGCGCTGCTGCTGGTAGCATCGTATCAACATGTGCGCTGCATGCAACGACGACGTTCTGTACGCGCTGAGGGCGCCGGCCCTGGTCAATCGACTGCATGTCCATGTCCGCGACAGTACATTGACATTGTAGTCATTCATCCTGAGCCGCTCGCTTTTTTTTATTTATTTCGGCCAGTCGGCTACATAATTGTCTTGGGGGTTAGACAATGGGAAGTAGCCATGTAGGGGCGTGAGCCCGCCTTTCGCCACCGGAAGAGGACCCACACCTTGCTCTGGTGAGCTGCGTCGCGTTTTGATCATGCTGACTGAGGCTACTCCTTTTCACAGTTCGGCCTCCACTAAGGCCGCGGTCACACATGAAAAGGTTGCACCGCTTTTAAGGCTGCATTCACACCCGGTACAAACATTCGCGTTTACATGACTCTACAAGTCACTTGCAACGCCTGTGCATTCACACAGTCAAATGCAGTGCATGCCAAACACGTAAAAAGTGACCCGCGTGACCCATGGCGAAGAGCGGGAATTTTGATTTCTGCATGAGCTGAGCGCACCAGTACCGTGCGGCACTTGGCTCAATATTTCAAAAATACTATTTCTTGGTCCGCTAGTATGATCTCGGTGGAACGCCTCCACAACTGGTGTATTCCTCTGAGTGTGCTGGAGTTGTGAACCATAGCGGCCGTGTATATCATTTCCTGAACATCTGCGGATAGCTGCTTTGCCCACAGATTCAGCTCATCTGCAATCCTCTTCTCGGCAACAGCTCTTTTAATCATAGTTCCATTTTCTCGCTGGTATTTTCCCCATAGTTCTATCAGCCGTAGCTCCACCTTGGCAGAAAAGACAACTCGAGGAATGCTACCGGACTCTCCAAAAACTAACAAAAACTCTGCGCACTCGACACACCAAACCACTCGTTTCGACTTGCCTGAAAACTAAAAGCCGAAATCCGCTTTCAAAGCCGCGTTCAAAGCCGCTCCGGGATGGCTTTGAACGTTGATGTGATTTTTCACTTTTCGCGTATGTTTCCATGCCCACTTCAAAGAACATGATGTTTGTATGCGGTTTTGTACGATGTGCAGCCCGCGGTCACGCATGAAAAGCTTGCACCGCTTTTGCGGAGGGGAAAAGCGTAACTACCGCAGCCGCTTTGGCGGAACACGTACACACGATGCAGCAGTCAAACATACATGGTAAACTACTGTGCTCCTCAATTATACTATCATTATAGCTCAACGCTCCGCTTTGGCAGAGGGAATGCAAATCTGTCCACGGGGAAAATTGCGGAAAAAAATCGCAAAAAACGCGGGGAAAACGCGGCATAATATGGCATAATTTGCGGTGAATTTGCGGTAAATATGCGGTGAATAATATTGATCTTCGTAAAAAGCCGCCACGATGAGACGTTGCTGACGACCGAACAGTGCACCGTGTGTACGTGTAGTGCAACAAAAAAGTTCAAAAAACGCGGGAAAATCGCGGAAAACGCGGTCTTTTAAAAAATCGCAAAAAACGCGGCCGCGGAATTGCAATTTTCCCCGGGGACAGGCAAATGCAGCACGTCCTATGAAATTTTAGATGTTCTTGTCCGAGTTGAAGCGACCCTTGCTTGTAAGTAGAGCTATCGTGGATCGCTGACAGGCTGCTGAATGTCTCCTGTCAAGTACACTCGTGGATTAGGGGAACATTCACTGCCGCCCAGTAGCAGTACGGGTGTATTTGAATATTAGTTTAGTTTACATCAATATCAAAATATATTATAGTTGTATAGCAGGGTGTCGTTGCCTCCTCCATGATCCAACATCGACCCAGCGACTGCGTGGACGCCGGCAGTTGCAGTGAGGGTGTGGCAGAGTACTCTACTACTCCCTGGTTGCAGTCCTAGTGTTAGATACTCTGGGAAGTATTGCTTGGAGAGAGTTGAAGATCATCCGCGATCGGGGCCTATGAGTTGGGAGACGGATTCCCTCACCAACTATCCACTCATAACGATGCAGTATTGTTTTGCGAGATCTCCAGAACGTACAGTTCATTGGCAAAGAAGAACAACATGAAAACTGAATACCAAACGGCAACCAAACAACACCAGAACTCAGTGCAGAAGTAGTACACCAAACTCCAAAGCCATCACCACGCAGGTTCCGCCAAAGCGGATCTGCGAAAGCGGAGGTTCCGCTCGCATTTTTTTGGCGTAGCGAAATCCAAACTTTCCGCCAAAGCGTGACCATGATTACTTACGCCTCCGCCGTTGCCGAGGCAACGACGGAAGCGTAAGTTACGCATTAGCGGAACCGCCAAAAAAGGTGCATGTGTGACCGGGCCTAACGAACGAAAGCGCTTCACTTCCGCAACCAGATTGCGACGGAGCGTCACTCAAACTTCCAGAAAATAACAATATGAAGGCGAGGCAACGGCGGAGGCGTAAGTTACGCATTAGCGGAACCGCCAAAAAAGGTGCATGTGTGACCGGGGCCTAACGAACGAAAGCGCTTCACTTCCGCAACCAAATTGCGACGGAGCGTCACTCAAACTCTAAGAAAATAACAATATGAAGGGCTGCAAGCAGAACACGCATCCGCCCAGAACACCCACAGACGGCAACGAGCAAGAAAAAATAGATTCCGCATTCAACTGAAGCACGGACGGTGCAGCAGTCCAAGATCCTCTCTACACGTTCGCTGCACGCTCCAGCGGCCAGAGCTCTGTGGCTTCATTCATCTGTCTGATCTGTCAGAAGATGTAGATTTACGCGTAGATTATGTACATGACTGTACAACATGACATCAGATTCTACTGCCTGCTCCACACTACAAAAGTACAGTGCTACTCGTGTACATCCATATGTAGGTCTACATAATCATTGCGGGCCGATCTTTCTGCTGACAAGTGACATGATGCTCCCACACCAACAACGAAATGAAGCCGACTGTCTGTGTCGCCAGAGCAGAGCTCTAGTCGTCTAGAGGCGGACTAGCTGTTCAAGTGTCATCACATTCAACAGTGCTAGTGAGCGATGTCGCCTGCACTATAGACTAAAGATTATGTAGACCCTACAATACTCAACATGCAGGCCTGTTTGCTCACCCACGTACACGTCACGTGGTACATAGCCGGGATAAATCGTAGTAGAAGCAAGGCAGGGCAGAGGAAATGAGATCCTTTTTTTTACAGGCGGTAGCTACAGCCAAGGCAAAGGCAAAGGGCGTAAAAAGTAGGGCTCAAACGATTAGTCCGATTAACCGGTTGCAGACCGGTTACGAAGAATTAACGGTTAACCGATAAAGATAACGGTTACGCAGTAACTTTTCAGTCAATTTTTCAAGTATCAGGTCGTTGCAAAGTGTGCACTTTCGCGGGCTGTCGCACGCGTACGCAATTTCTGGGCTGTCAACTCGGTCATATCTGGTCTCTTGGTGTGAGAGTATGTATGAATGAGCATGCAAGGGAATGTACAAGTGTGCGTTGTACTGAATAGGGTACATTTTTTGAATGAGTATAGTCAAATATACGGTTAAAAAAGAGTCCGCAGGATTGCCGTGGCTTATAGGTTACAACCGGTTAACCGACCGTTAGCTTAGCAGTTAACCGTCAGGGGTAAAACCGTGACCGTTTGAGCCCTAGTAAAAAGGCTGGCGGCATCCACAGCAGCACTCTACAGAACACATCTTCAAACATATCACGTGCTTGTTGCCATCCGACGGCCAATTAGCATCGACTTGTACCAGGGCAGAAATTGTGTGTATTGCCTGGACTACGGCATGGCAATGCCCTGCTAGCATGCTACGGAGTACGGTGACATCCCCTGCATGCATGCTAATAGACCAATCCCGAAAAGATTGTCTGGGTTCGTGAAAGGGGGCACGCGTGTAAGCCAGCACGTGTGAAGTGCATCGGTTTGTATTCAGTTTGTGTGTGTCAGCTCATGGCGGAGGAGAGAGAGACTTTTGCTCGCCAAGCTGAAGCTAAAGGATTTGATGGAGTCCTGCCAGCAGCTAGTCAAAGGACCTTCGGTACCTTAGGCAGACCCTGACGGAGTTTGGAGGCCAGCTAGCTCTCGGTGAGG